TCATGGGGGTTGAGCGTTTGGGGCAGGGGCGGGGCGCCAGGAAGGAGGGGAGCGCGTGGGCGGGTTCAAGTGGTAGCCTTTGGGGGGCAGACGAGCTTGGGATGCAGGGGTGAAGGGTAGAGGGGGTCGGTGAGCGGGACCTTCCGTTCTGGGGACGTGGGAGGGCCGGCCGCGCCGCAGTTGCGGGGTCGCGCGAGCCGGCAGGGCTCCAGGGCCGCGAGCAACGCGCGGTGCCGCCGCCGGCAGCATTGCTGGGCCTTAAATGCATGGGTGATGCACCAACGGCATGGAGCGCAGCTGCGGCCGGCGGTGCACCCTCTCGACCCCCTCCCGAACCCGCACCCTCCCCGCCCCCTCTTCACGGCGCCCCACCAGGGAAGTCGGTGACGTAAGCAGCGATGGCGCCCTGCAGGTGTTGGTTTTGAGGGCGCGCCCATGCCGGTGAGCAGGCGCATCAGCGACCGCCCGCCCCGTCCGCGCTTGGTGAGGCGACCGCACGCCGCCGTTCAGCGCTGCGTTTTGCGCGGTCAGAGCCACACAGGGGCCGGCAGCGGCAGGCGGCGACCGCGAGGCGGCCACCTGCGGATCACGGGCCCTCCCTGTGCCAAGGCATTGCACCCCCTGGCCCGCCCCCATGCCATTCCCAGCCCTGGCAGTGCCCTCAAAGACCCCGAGCGCCCTCCCTACAGCCGCACCCGACCCTCCACGCCCCGCCGCGCCGCCCCGCCGCCACTCGCCGCCACTCGCCCTCCATAAACCCCAACCCCCTCCCTCACCGAGCGCACGTCCCGCACTGCAGCCGCCTGGTCGCGGTACTCCACCATGGACGCCTGCAGACTGTTGGCCACGCCGTCGTTCGAGGCGCGGAAGTACCTGCGGCGGGGGGCGCGATGGGGGGAGGGATGAGGCGCACGACAGGCTCTCCCGCGAGGGCCGCAGTCAGCGCCGCGCGCGCACTGCACACACCGCCCTCGTTCCCACGAGATTTCCGGCCTTAGAGCAAACCAAAGCCTCCCGCCATTGCGTGTCCCAGCAGCCCGGTAGGGGCCGAGCAGAGGGGGTTGAAGCGCTCGGTCAAACCCGGTCAAACCCTGTCAAACCGCACCCACTTGCTGACCGACGAGTCGAAGGGCACCCCGAACATGTTGCCGGAGCGCTTCAGGTCGGCGAGCGTCTGGATGGAGACGCCCAGGCGCGACACGGTCAGGTTGGCGGTCAGGTTCGCGGTGTAAGCCGAGAGCGTGATGACGCTGTCATGTTTGGGGGTGGGGAGGGGGGAGGGTTGCAGGTGTGAGCCGAGAGCGTGATGACGCTGTTGTTCAACCAGGTATTGTTTGGGGTTGGGGGAAAAGGGTCAGGGGAGAGGGGGGCAGGGTCGCAGGGGAGGGGTGTCCGCCGTGGGCGCGTGCGCCTGGCCGACGGCGCGCCTGCGCGCAGGGAGGTCGCTGCCGGGGAGGTGTGCCGCCGCGCCTGCCCCGGTCCTCTGCTCCCAACGCGCGTCAGCAGCAGGGGGGCCCTGCCAGCCAACGCAAGGCAGCCTCGCAGCATGCAGCTGGCGGGAGGGACGGGAGTGAGAGCATGTGCGCGTGTGCGTGCGCCACAACACGGCCCAACACAAGCTGTGTGCCCAAAACGCGCGAGCGCGCCCCGAAACACTAGATACAAAAAGACGTCAACCTGCGCGACATCAACGCGCGCGCACACACACACACACACACACACACACACACACACACACACACACACACGCCTGAATATGGCCCAGCAGAGGTACAGCAGCTTCACCGCCCAGCTGTGCGACGAGGGCGCGCCCCCCTGACCCACAAGTAGGAACGTCGTCTCTATGCCGTGCTGCATAACGCGCTCGTGGCGCCGCCGCCGCGGCGCCTCGCGCCCGAGGCCATACTGCCGCTCCAGCGCGGCGTGGCGCGCGCGGCGCGTCCAGGAGTGCAGCAGTGTGGCCGTCAGAATGACCGCCGCGAGGGCCGCCAGGATCAGCAGCCAGGTGTCCCTCTGGGGTGGGGTTGGGTTTGAGGTTTGTGGATTTTTTGTGGGGTTAGGTGGGCAGGGCGGGTATCACGGAGTTCAAGAGGTTGCAGTGTTGCGTGGCAGGGCCGGTTTTGGATATTGGGTTGAGTGGTGGGGTTGCACGGCGATTTTGAAATATCACATTGATAAGATCGTGGATTTGGGTCAAAGAGATAAAGGTTGAAAAGCGGTCATCGGCTTTGGGGTCGCATTCGAATTTGGCAAAGTTGTTGAGGAAGTTCAGGGAGCAGGGTGGGAACTATTGGGGGAATTCTCCTGGCGTCGCGTGCATGGCTGAGGGGCAGCAGGGGCTGCGCCTGGGGGTTGGGGGCGCCGCGGGCCGGCTCGCCCGCCAAGCGGTGCGCGACGCGGAGGGTGCTTGACGCAGCCCCCCATGCCGAGGCCCTTCGCCCAAAAAGTTTCTACGGAGACGCGGCCTTGGGCGCAACCGCCAGCCCCAGCCCCTGCTGCCCCTGCTGCTGCCCCTGACCCACCCCCTTAACCCGACCCCGTCGCCACCCATCCTGCTTGTCAAAAAGGCATCCACTCCAAATAAAACCCCCCTGCCCACCTGGAAGGGCAGCAGGAACGAGTAGGCGTTGTCCTGCTGTGTGATCTTGACCAACATGGCGTAACCCGAGTCGAGGAACGGCACGGTCGCGCTGATGGCCTGGCTGCGCGCGCTGGTGAGCGTCAGCGGGAACATCGCCAGGTCAGCGCGCCGCGCGGTGAGCTCGCCCATGACGCCGCTCCAGCTGCCATTGGCGAGGAGGGAGCCGCCGCCGCCCTACAAGGGGGGGCGAGGGGTGAGGTAGGTGCGATGGCGTCAGGAGACACACGTGGAGAGACACCTGAGGTTGGGGCGCCTCCCCAGCCGCCGGCTCCAGGCAGTGGTCTCGCGGGTTCGCAAAGCGCCTGCGGGGACGCGGCCCGTGGCACAGCGGGCTGGTGCGCAGCGGCCGCACGCAGGGCCCAGGCGCTCGCAGGAGGCGCGCCCGGCATAGCGGCCCCCGCGGCGCTGCCATGGCCTTCGGGGGTCCGACGCACGCCGCTTCAACTTCAGCGCCCGACGGCCGGGCGCAGGCGTGCTCGCGTGCACTCTGACCCACCGAGGGGAGCTGGTACAGCTGGTAGGGGCGGTTGATCCGCGCGGCCTCCAGCATCCGCGGCAGCAGCTCTATCAGCATGCCGGAGTAGGAGACCGAGCCGTTTTCAGCCTCCCGTATGAAAACCAGGGGCGGGCGGTGGGCGACGACCACTCGCAACGCTGCGGCGGCGGCGCCCCTCGCTGCGGTTGCGGCGGGCTGCAGGGCCATGGCCGCGGTGGCGTTGGATGGATTCATGATCCCGGGTTATCCAGGCCGGCGCTGCGTGGAGGGGTTGCGTGCTTCTGACAGCTCGGGGTGCGTCACATGCAGCGCCGGTGCCGCGTCAGCCACTTGAGCGGATTGAGTGCTGGACAGCCGCACGTCGGCCGAATGCGTCTGCTGATGCGGCCCTCGTTGTTTCCGTATACCAGCGACAACTCTCGTAGGCTTCGTCGAGGCCGCACACCCAGTTGGGCGACGGAGCCCAAGCGAGAGCTCTCAAGGTCCCAGTCTTGTCGTGTAAAGCATGTTTGTCAACTTTTCGGCGAGCGCATTGTGCTTTGCGGTGCAATTCAAAGACCAGTCGCCAGGTAAAGCACTAGCGCGTACACTGACAGCATCTCTGCACACAGTGCCGCTGTTGGGCCGTGCCCAACAGCATCATGAGCAGCACCCGGCCATGACAAACAGCGCTTAGATTGCAGCTCTCCAGCTCGAAGCCATCTCATCCCATACGGATGAATTTGTTAGCGGTTCCTCAGGCCGCTGCCGGCCCCACAGCAGGCACTCAACGCCGCCATGGTCCTTATGACATGATCCATGTATGCCTGCCGGATGGCGCACCGCAGTCCACCGCACCGACACCAGGGGAGCCCTGGAAGGGCCACCCATGCCACCACACTGGAGGGCACGCCCGTTCCCCCTGCTCGTACCACTCACGCTGGAATGTGGGAAGCCATGACCTGGTTAGCTGGCGCCTTGCAACCATTTCGGTGCCCAGGGCACCTGCAGCCCCCAAGAACGCCTCTGTTCTATGGCTGTCTCACCTCTGTTGCATGGCTGTCTCACCAATTTGATTGGAGATGTTTGATCTCCAATTTGCTGCTTGCGTACTAGATAAGCATGTGCTGGTTGCCTGAACAACAAGGGCCTTGGTGAAGAAGAGCTTCCCTGATTACAAGTAGGCGGCACGCGTTGATATCACATCACCACAAGAACAAATTGGTGGGTTGCATAGCTTTGCTGCCCCTCGCCAGCGACTGGACAACCGGGGGAAACATGCGGTGCCGATGCTGGCACGGACGCCGGCGTCTGTGCGACACCACATACAGAGGCGAGGCTTCACCAGCAGCCGCCCTTTTCGAAAGAAACGCGTGGCAGGGAGGAGTTCAGTTGAACTTAGTCGGCACTTTCCAGGGGCGTTTTCAGCCCACTGGCATCCTTGCGGAAGTCGCAGTGCCATCATGCCCAGCCGTGGGTCTGCCGGCACTGAGCCTGCAGCCAGCTCCAGAAATCAGTTATCATAGCCGTGACGCCGGCAGCGGCGCCCGGCCGCCAGCACGGCCCCTCGCCCGCAGCGCGCTCCCGCTGCCGCCGTCAGCCTGCGCCTGGAGCACACCCAGGAAAAACTCCCGCGCATCAGATGCCACCCCCTCCGGGTCCTGCAGCGGCCCAAAATGGGACAGGCGGGGGTAGCGGCGCACGAGCGAAGCCGGCAGCGCCTCAGCCAGCCGCTCGCCGAGCAGCGGCAGCTGCCCGTGGATGTTGCCGCCGTCGCCGCCGCCGCTGCCGTCGGCCCCCTTGGGTTGGGGCTGCGCGTTGCCGCCGCTGCCCGTGCTGCTGCTGGTTGTGCTGCTGCGGCTCGGCTGGCCGCTGCCGCTGCTGCTGGCACCGCTGCTGCCCACGGCGCCCACAGCCACCATGACGGGGCAGCGCACGCGCTCTGTGCGGATGGGGATGCACTCGCCGACCGCCGTAAACCAGGCCGCCTCGGTCTCCGGCGCGCATTTCAGCTGCCAGAGCTGCTCGCCGCCCCCGCTGCTGCTGCTGCCGCCGCCGTCCGCGGCAGCAGCTCGCCGCAGGCCGTGCCGCAGGTACGCGCGGAGCGCATCAGGGTGCAACGAGCTGAAAGGCAGCTTGCTGCCGAGCCGATCGAGCGCCTCCTGCGGGCTGGCGAAGCCACTCCGCCGCTTGCGCGCCATCCCGGCCAGCACCTCCCACGCAGACTGGCGCGCCGGGCTGCCGACCGCCTCTGGCGCCGGGGCGGCCACGGGTTCGAATGCGAATATTGCTGCAAAGAGCCCGGGGTGCGCCGCCTCCGCGGACAGCGCGAGCGCGCCGCCGAGCGAGTGACCCAGGCAGAGGCAGCGGCCACGCAGGCCTGCTCTGACCACCACATCGAATAGAAGCTGCACTGCAGAGTCAATTACGGCGCTTTGGGGCCCAGACTCGGAGGCATCGCCGTGCCCTGGTAGATCGAGCGCTATGCAGCGGAAGGCACCCAGTGCAGGTGTCATGGGCTCGAATACACGTGCGTGGAATCCGTTGGCGTGCAGCAGGAGCAATGGGGGGCCATCGATCGAGCCCCCCAATTCGTATATGCGCAAGGCGTGCGTCATTGCTGAAGTTACATTTTCTTGCGTGCTCTACGCAATTCACGCCATCGTTATGTATGGATCAGAGCGCAAGAGGCAGCCACTCGTCGAGTCATCACCATCACCATCACGATGCTGGTGGGGATGACTTCAAAGCCGCGTGCCGCAACATCCCGTCAGATCTACGTGACTACAACTAGTGTTGACCCAGCAAAGCGTGTCAAACCGAATCTTGCGTGTTCCGCAAATCCGCGTTGACCCTGGCAGCTCTCTTCGTCCCACAACTGCGCTTCAGCTACAGCATGACTTAGTAATACAGCGCATTTGTGACGTATAGAGATGAGCACTGCAGTCTTTGGCGTTAGCGCCGAGCGATTTGCGTCGCCTTACAGCGGCGCCAGCCGCTGCGCCGCTGCTGCTGAGGCTGGCCCAGGGCCGGGGTCACACACTTACGAGCTCCAATGGGCCCGACCGACGTCCATGTCCAGCAAGGGATACGGGGGACTTGCGTCTCGCACGAACCGGCTGAACGGCAGGCTCAAGTACTCGGGGCCAGGTGAACAGTTTCGGGGGGCGTGCCTGCAGAGAGGCGAGCATATCAACGGTTCGCGGGCGTTGAATGCCAAAAGGGTGCATCTACTCCGAAGGCGTAATTCGCAACATGCAGTTATGGTTTCAACTGCGCTGCACCTTGCGTGTGCGCTCGGTCGGACACTCCGCAGGCCCAGGGGCGTACACCGCAAGCAGCGCCTCCCTGCTACTGGGGCAACGGCCATGCTCGTCACCCGCTGCCACGGCAGCAAGCAATACTGCCACAGCGCCGGCGTTTGGCCGTACACTTCCAAGGGCAGCAACCGCAGCGGCGGTAGCAGCGGCACCAGCGGCACAGGATCCTCATCAAATGTCTCGGCCGGACGGTGGTCCTGCTGGAGGGGGGTTTGAGGCTCTTGACCCAACCTTCAGCTGCGCAGCCGTGATAGGCAGCAGCAGCGCGCTTGCGTTGGCAGCACATGCCTCAGTAGCACCTGCCACCACCAGAACAGGCGACCCGCTTGGTTGGACGGACGCGGGCAGCCGTTGGGCACGTGGTGGGGCGCGCGCGGGCGCGTCATCAGCATTCAAAGCGCCACCCCGCAACTTCCAGCTGCAGCCGTGCCCTGCTGGTGACGCCGCACCGCCTCCGACTCGGTACGACGTGCCCTGCCATTGGGGCAGCCCCGGCACGGCGCAGCAGCAGCAGCGACGGCGGTGGCATCAGCACAGCACTGCTGGCACGGCAGGTGGCCCGCTGGCTGGGCGCAACTACTGCGATGCCAGGGGATGCAGTGCTGCTGTCCCAGCGCATGCTGCAATGCAAGCCGCAGACATCAGCGCGCGCATGTGCAGCGCAGTGTTTGGCGGTGGCCCGTCTTTGACCAGCGTGTCCCAGCAGCGCCAGGCCACGCAGTCAAGGCAGCAGGCGCCCGGCAGCGGCTGCTCATCGGGCCGCCTGCAGCCGCCCCCGCCGCCCGCGTTCCACCCGCGCCAGGCGGAGCAGTCGAAGGGCAAGCCTGCAGCCGGCATGGCGAACAGGCAGCAGGAGGGCGGGGCCTGCCGCGTCTCTACCAGCGCTCCCTGTGGCGGTTGTGGAGGCGGCGTTGCTGTGACGAGTGCATTCAAGAGCACCTCAGACCGGCAGGCGAGCTGGCTGCTTCTTGCTACTGGGGGCCCAGGCCCTGCATATTATCGTCCACAGTCACCGCCAGGAAGACAGTCGTTTCATGCGAACTTACATCAAGGGCAGCTAGGCGGCAGACTGGTTTGAGCTGCCTGCTTGTATAATTGTATCATCTGCAGGGCTGTTCTGCATACATTGCAGCAAGTTCCGCAATTACAAAGCCGCCCAGTCCAATGTTTCAATGGTAACTTGGTGCACATCACGATCAGTCTCGCACTTGTGAGCTTGAAGAAGGACGAAATCAACGGGGGCAGCCACGAGGCGCAGCTCCCAGCAATAGCAGGAGGCTAGCTTAAACGGCGGCCGCCATGGCGTTGTCGTGTACGGCACGAGCGCCAAGGGCGCAAGCGCGCGGCTGCGCGTTTGTCGGGGGACCTGGCGCGTTCAGTGACACATCGGCCACTGAGTACACCCTGGTACATTTGTGGAAGTCAGATTCATACACTTATCGTATCCCACACCGCATGCGCCTGGGTTGGAAAATCTAAGGGTGAACGCCTGCCAAACAAATGCTCACCGCACAGTGATCGTGTCCAATTGTATGATTTACATGTTGCGTGTATTCAACCTGTAGAGCCAGTCCCCTTTTGTTACGTGCACGACCCGCAATTGTGTGGAGAAGCGCAAGCCCCACCAATTTCTAGCAATGTGGCGCCACAGCACACGTATAGAGAGCTCCAACAACGTGGCGAACGCGGCCCCCCGGCACGTTGCTGCCGCGGCGCGAGTGCGCCGCCCCGCGGGGCGCATCGTGTGCGCGCTGCCCCCTGCGCGGAGCGGCGGCGAGCCGCTCTTTGCACGCCCAGACTTCGCCATGGAAGGCTCCGCGAAGGATTGGGACCCCGCCAGCGCGCTGCGCAGCTATGCGGCCGCCGCGGCGCAGCACCCGAGGCTCTACACACTCACCCTGAGCCACCAGCTCCGTCAGCAGTACGCCAGCGCGGCCGAGGCCGCCGCCGCTGCTGATGAGCACGCGGCCGCAGCTCTCGACCAGCACCAGGCGGCCACTCGCTCCTTCTGGGACGAGATCCTTTAGGCAGCCTCCGCGTCCGGCGCCACCCATTCGTGGCAGCTGGCCGGGCGCCCAGCAATTGGGCGTTTAGGCACTTGAGATTGGGGCGAGAGAGGGATTCGGAGACATCAGTGACAGGCGGTTGAGCGCAGCATGCTCTTTGCAGGGTATGCGTGAGAGAGTTTGGCGCCTCAGTCCTACGAGAGGCCCAACGCAACATGCTGCCGCGCGGGCACAACAAGGACTTGTTTGTCGCGGTGGGCATGCGTCGTGCTGAGTGAAGTGACTTGCGAGTGAGCGCGATTGGACATGTGTCGTCCTCTGCAACAGATGACCTATATTTTCCACCTTGGTCGCCATATTGGCTGCCAGTTGTTGCGTCACTGCCGCCTGCACGCCGTGGTGTGGGACACCGCCTGAGGACAAGGCGAGAACCTGCTTTGCGGCTTCATGCACACACATTGGTGTGCATAAGCATGCACACACGCGCCCGTACATTGCAGAAGGCCCCGGCAGCCGTGTACGCGGTTCAGCGGCTGTTTCCTTTGGCTGTTGCACCCGTCGTGCGTCCGCCTGCTGCTTTGCTTGAGTGAATGCACGCTCTGATACGTGTTAGGGAGGAGCAACCTCTTGTCACTATGAGTGTATATTGGACACTCCAAGTTCAGCTGCAGTTTTTGGGGCGGGTTTGGACTGCTCCATACCCACGGCCGCAGCCCAGCTCTCTTTGATTTCAGATTTTTGATGGGAGCGCCGGTGCCTTTTTCGCGCATCGGGCTCCCACGGACTGGCTGCCTGTTGTACCACCACCCAGCTTCATGTGTGCGGCCAATCGCGCCCAAGCACAACTGATGTAAACATTTGTTGTCGATGCTGCAAATTATGTGGCGGCAACTCGCAACCTTAGCTCCGGCGACAGGGTTGGGGCACACGAGCAGCAGCAGACGGACTTCCTGTCGCTGCGGGACCAGGTCGAAGCGATTTCAGGCAGCAATTAGCAGGGGTGTGCCCAACAACATTTGTCAGGGTCTGCAAAGTCTCTCTGTTGCTCCGCTGTCATTCAGCCACATCACAGCATAAACAAGCCGTGTGGCGCGCCCCCCGGCTGTCCAAGAGTCGCAGACCTTTGCCTTTGCATCCGTGATGATGTGGCGGCTGTGGTTGAGGCCAACGTTCGTGCACAACCTTAGAAAATCACTCCACCACCAAAATGCACGCATCTTGCAGAAGCTTGGTGGCGGCAGTGGGGCGTGCTTCCGGCGGACAGGTGGCCCCTGGGGCCTGGATGACTGAAGGTGCTGCGCCGTTCAGGGTGTGAGAAGCCAGGAAGCCGAATGGACCCATGCAGGCTCGCACTCCTCTGGCGCTGATAAATTGTTACATCAACCAAAATCGTCGTACTAGAGCCGCTAGTAACTCATATACGCTTCCGCACCCAACGACACAAGACTGTAAGCTCTCTCGCCCGCCCCTGAGAGACGCGGCTCTTCAACAACGGGAGCGCCATGCACGTGTTCAGGCGTTACATAGTGCTCGCGCTTCTGGTCGGGGCCACAGGTGCATTGCATGGCAGGCGGGGCGCGACCTGTTGTCGCTGTGAAGGGGGCGTGCGCACCGGGAAGATGAGCTGGGCCGCACACCTATTACGTCACAGCCTATCAGGGCATATGTATGCATGTGTGCTCAGTTGACTGACCATCATGCAAGCACTCTCCACACATGCCGATGGCTGACACACGCCAACCTCACTGGTGTCCCACCCGACTTCGCCGTGCTGCCGCAGGCCATGCGCTGGCCCTGACCACCAGCGGGGCCGGTAGGGGTGTGCACGGGCAGCTCGGGAGCGTCGAGGTTTGGAGCTGGAGGCGCGCTCTCTTGACAGACAACGAGATCTCTGGCTCCTCCGCCACGTCAGGTGACAGCACCAGTGCAGCTGCGTCCAGCCCAAGCACCGAAGCCACCAGCGCAGACCCCCTGGACGAAGCCGTTAACGACGCCGGTGACGACGCTGGTGACAACGCTGGTGACAACGCTGGTGACAACGCTGACGCCGCACCAGCGCCGAAGCCGCCGCCGGCGCAGCTGGACAGGCACCAGGCGCAGCTGCAGGCGCTGCTGGCGATCGCCGCAGCGGCAGACACCGCAGGCAGGCTCCCTGGCTGGACGGCAGCCGCCGGGGCAGGCACGGGTTACTGCAACTTTTACGGTGTCTTCTGCGATATTGGGGGCAATGTCGCCGCAATCGACATGCAGAGGACAGCGAGCGCGCTGCCGCCTGGGCAGCTTCTCAAGGCTCTCCCCTGGCTGACCGCCATCGCGTTTGGCGGCCCGGGTGCCAACCTCGCGGGCACACTGCCAGCTGATTGGGCAAGCTTGACGAAGCTGGAGGACATCAAAGTGACAGAGAGCAGCGTCACTGGGCCGATCCCTAAGGAGTGGACGGCGTTAACACGCCTGACAGGCCTGCACCTGAAGTGAGCACTGGACAAGGGGTGGAGGCATTGGTTGGTTGAGGCTGGGGGTTGCGCGTGCTCCTTGCAACAGCTCAGTTGTACCGACTGCCTTGAGGCTTCCTTGCTCCTGCTCATTGATCCCAACACATACCTCACAACTTGTTCTCTGCATGCATTCCTCTTCCCCCCCCCTGAACACCAACAGCAAGAACAAGCTCACCGGCACGCTGAGCCCCGAGTTTGGGACCGCTTGGCAGGCTATCGAGCGGATCGAGGTGTCGCGCAACGCATTTGTGGGTCCCTTGCCTGCAGAGTGGGCCAAGATGCGGCGCCTGAAGTCCTTGTACGCAAAGTGAGTATTGGATGGTGGCTTTTCCAGAGGGCCAGGGACGCAACAGCTCAACCTCGTGCAGCTTTGTTCGGCGCTCGTGCGGGGCAGGCGTGCAGGCTTCTGAGACGCATCAAATTGCAATCAAAGGAGGAGTGCCTGATCCTTCCATGCAGGGCTATCTGAACTGATTCCCCGCAGCGATGCTGGTCGTCGGCGCCTTTGCCTTGCCGCCGTACCTCCAGGCAAACCCAGGTCCTGATGGCTTCACTGCGCACCCCCCCCCCTCCAATACCCTCTCGCAGTGTTAATCAGCTCACCGGCACCCTGAGCCCCGCGTTTGGTGAGGGGTGGTCGTCAGCCCTGCAGGAGCTGGGCCTTGACTCCAACAAGTTCACAGGCCCTCTGCCGCCAGACTGGTCCAAGATGAGCCGGCTGACGCGGCTGTCGCTCTCGTGAGTGCCGCCTCAAGTTTGAAAAGCTGTTAGTTTTATGGCGTGGGAATGGCAATCGCAAAACTGTGGGCTTTTGTGTCGGTACAACACTGCAAGCGGGTTTACCGCACGCTGGTTTTGGGGGGCGAATGACGGACATGTCAGCAAATGAATCTTGCACACGATTGGGCTATTACGTACTAGCGCTTGTCATAGCATGACTCTCCAAATTTCCAAACCATCTCGTCCCCGACTCATCCTTTCAAACCATCTCGTCCCCAACTCACTCTCGACAGTGATAACAAGCTGACGGGCCCAGTGCCTGAGTCCTGGGGAATCCTGTGGGGGACGCTTTTGGAGCTGTACCTCAGCAACAATATTGGCATGACAGGTTGTCTGCCAAAGGGGCTGCAGGCCTCAAGGCTGTACCAGGTGTGCAGTGGCACCAGCATAAAGTGCACCGGTTGCTGATGGACTGGCGGCCGCTGAGTCAGCCATGCAAAAATAGTTTTTGTTGCTGTATCGCACTGATGCGCCTGCGATTCTTCAAACGTGCTACCTTGAGCTGGGGCGGACTCTTCTAGAGCTACTTCCTGGCAATAAAATCAGTCTGGCCGTCGATTGGTTGCCTGCCCCGGGGGGTGCAGGCTGTGAGGTTCTAACAGGTGTGTAGCGGCGCCGCACCAGCATCAATTGCACTACTGACTGCTGATTCAGGGGGGGAATGGCGGCTGTTGCTACAGCCATGCATGCAAAGTCTTGCACACGCTCCATGCACCTGGCTGAAGACACTGTGCTGAGATTGGTTGTGCTTGGGACACAGCCACTTTACTGGAAGGTTTGCGTTGGATTTACTGCAATCTGTTGTAAGATACCCTGTGCACCCTCGCAATTGGGTGATAGAAAGGAGTGCTAGAAAAGAGCGCGGGCGCGGCATACACATGTGATTTGTGCTGCGGCCAGCTGACGTGCCAAAGTGTGGTGCTGTTGTCCATCCTCCTGCACATCCAATACGTCATTCAAAAACCGGCTGCTGATGGCCAAGCAGAACACAACGGCCAGAGAAGGTTGAATGTCATTTCACAAGCACCTCCTAATGGCGAGAGGTGGGCACTTTGCGTGGTGACATGCACCGGGTGACCAGCCCTCTCGGCGCGGTAGAATACAGATGGAGCAGGAGGTGAATTCTTTTTCCTGCGATGAGGCATTATCCAGGTGCAGACCAGGCAGTTGCAGGTGCCCACAGGTCTCAGGTGCAGGACAGTCGTGCGGGTCGGTACGACACACTCAACAGGCAGGTTTGCATTGCCAGCTCTCATTGCTCAACCCACAGCTCGATTTTCTGGGTCCTGTCAGCTGTGAGGCCCTCTGTTATATTTCTTCCAACTCAAGCAGTTCTTAAGCCTGGTCTCTACGTGACAGAGCGCGCATGCAGGTCAAGCTGCCAGCACTATCTGCCCATCTCGCACCAGCTGCAGGCAGCACATGCAGCAGCATACTATTGGGAACATGCAGGATTCAGCTGGGCATGTACAGATGTGCCTGGTGGCATGGGCTAACATGTCAGCAAGCGCGTTGGCGGACAGGCAGTCACTCAGGCAGGCCCCAAGGACTGTCGGGCAAAACTGCAGACACGCAAAAATACCAATCCAATTTCAAATGGGAAGTCATCCTGACTCCAAACCAACGATGAGAATAGTAGGATGAGAATAGTAGGGCGCGAGCGAACCACGCTCGCAGGAACCTGTGCAGATATGGTCAACACAGAAATGCGCCCGCTCCCAGCCCAGACCCGCGAGACAGCTCGTATGCTAGGTTGTGATTGCAAGATTGTACCAGCTGTCTGGCTGGTGCCCAATCCCTGCTCACGTGTGGTCACAGGGTGAGCTCAACCGCAAATCGGCTCAAGGATTCTCTCAGCAACTGCGCATGGAGGCTGCACACGCATGGTCGCAATCTAAATGGCCTTGGGCATGCAGTACAGAAGGGTAGTCACATGCTGTGATGGGCCGTCCTGTTCAAACACCGACGCGCAGCACAGGCCACCTAGGCTCGGCTGCTGATGCCGATGCCCGTCGGCCAGTGTAGGCCGTGACGCAATAGTGTGATGGGCAATGGGTGGATGGGTCAGCAGCATGCGGGCCACAGCACCATCAGGCCCTCTTGTAAGCGTACTTCTGGCTGTACTTGCAGGTGCCGTTGAGAGAAGTGCCAGGGAAGCTGACGGGTGAATACTCCTCGTACACGCTGCCATCAGTCTTGCCCTGTAATAGGTTGGTTGGAGGTTGCGAGAGGTTGATCTCAAGTTGGCGGCAGTGTGGAGCAGAGAAGGGGCAGCGGCGGCAACGCAGGTGCGGGCAGTCCAAGCGGACAGCTTGAAAGCGCACAGTTTGGAGCTGCAGGCAAGCGCGTAAAACATCCAATTCCCCGCACAAACGCGTGGATGGTTCTTGCACAGGCCGCGTACGGCCGATTTCAAACCAAGCCGCATACTTGCCTGAAACACCCACTTGGGGATCACGGTCTGTGGTGGTGACGATTGGATGGATGCGGGTTGAGAGTAGTATGAGTGGATTACAGTATGCACAGGGACTGCTGAGGGTGGGAGGCTGTGCACGGGACGAGCTCCTTAGCCAGCGAGGCAGCAGAGCAGCGGCAGCAGCTGCAGGTGTAGAGTCCTTGCTGCTACGTGCTCCTTACAGAGCATCCAAGTAGCAAATCAGCCGAGCCCGTTCCCTCGATCTGCCCCTCCCTCGCTCATGCCTCCGCAGCTCACGTGCACGCCCCAGTTCTGATCGACGACCTGTGGAGGGGAGGGCAGTTGCTAGGTTGGCGCCATGGCGCGAGCGGCAAGCTATATTCACTGGGGCAGTAGCACCATTAGTAATCGTCCAAGCCCCTGCAGTGAATCACGCAGCGGCTATCGTGACCATCACCTGGGTCACAGCAAAATCCACGCCGCCAGTCATCAGGGAGATGGCATCATCCTCAGCCAACGTCTTGCCAAGCGACTCACTGCAGATTTCAATTGCAATGGATGAGATCAGCGCGTGTCTCCGAAAAATTGTTGCTGCCAACTCATTCAGCAGGTACTCCCTTTGACGGGCACTGCATGAAGATTACGCTTCAGGCCCCACAAAATCAAATAGAGCGACCTTGAGACAGCAACACGCGGCACTCGCTGGCCACCTGCCGGGCAGGCACCACCGTGGTTGATATGCGGACCAACAGCAACCACCTTTGGGGCCCTACCTGAGCTTGAGGAGGAAGTCGCGGGTCTGGATGGCGCTCACGTTGAAGGCCTTGTCCAGGCTGGATTTGGTGGCGATGACGGCCTGCCGTGTTGGAGGGTCGCAGGGCAGCCGGACGCGCAGCTAAGCAACCCGATGGGGAGCTTTGTCCGGCGCTTGCGCACGCGCACGAGCACGCGTGCGTGTGCACACACACACACACACACACACACACACAAACGTACACACACACACACACACAATTGCGCACGCGCGCAACCCCAGGCGCTTCTCCCCGTTACCCCGCGGAATTATGCGCCGCCCCATGGATTCACCATGTCACAATCAAACAACGGCTGCAGGGCGCTTGCGAGCGCGTGCGAGGTTGCAAGCAGCACGGGGCTCTCGCCCTCACCTGAGGGTTGAGCACTGCGGGCTCTGCGGTGGCGTTGGCTCCTGGCGTGGCGCTGTAGAGCTCCTTGATGTAGTCCAGGTAGGTATGGCCCTAGGGC